AAGTCACTGGGATCCTTTTCCCAAAAATTAAAATTGGCTTAGAGACTTTGTGCACTGAAAACTCTGTATTCTTGCATACTGCATTATTGCCATTCAACTTAAAAAGCACTGGGAAGAGTTCCACTTTTCCAAATTTTCCATAGCGTTTTCTATTGAGACTTAACTAGCATCATGCACAATTGCGCAGGTGCCATGGAAAATAAAGCTTGAAACAAGTAAAGAAAGAAGTAAAATTGATAAATGAAGGAGGAAAGGGAGAAAGAAGTACAAAAATCCTGAGAATGGTACCTTAAAGGTTTTGAAAAATCTCCTTGGTGGTTTATCTTCATTTAGAAATTATATATGTGTGTGCATGTGTGTGTGTGTATGTGTGTCTGTGTGTACACAATATTGTATATAATGTCACCACAATGACTGTGTTTTGCCATACACAGATCCAGACCTGTCTGGTCAAGTGGAGCTGGGAGAGCGCAGTTCAGGATGCTAGACAGCAGATGGAGTCTATGTTAAGCAGCCCATTTTTCATCTTCCAATTCTGATATTCATTATTTTAGATGCTAACAGTTAAAAGTGAAAACTAAGTTTTTTTTATCATTATCCCAGATCCTTTTAGTGTTTAGGATTATATGATTTATGTTCATCTACATAGCCTAGAACAGTACTTAACACAAAACAGATGTTCAATATAATGCGTAAAGAATAGGTGAGTGAAAAACTGAAAAAAAAAAAAAAAAGATCCGGATGCTAACATGTAATGCTATACTGAGATGGGTGCCTTGCAAGAAAATTAACAGAAAGCACAACTGTGGTTCTATATCGTGGCCACACTTCTTCTTTCAGCACTCCCACAACTGTCCCTAGTAGCCCTGGTTATTTCTAATGCTCAGAAATATATGCTGTGAAACCAAAGCTAATGGCACAGAAAAAAAAAAAAAAAATGTGGCAATTACATTCAGGGGCTTGCAGATGAATGAAAGCTTTCAATTCAGTAGTCATGTGCGTAGAGAGATGCCATCATCTTCATCATCTTTCACAGTGAGAGCCAACTAAACACTTGTCACCTTGTGACACTTTTAAAGGCTTTTTTTCTTCTTTACAGAAACGCCTGGGTTATGTGTTATTATTTACAGTGTGTTCTTTGCCATTCATGTACTACATGGGTGATCTGCCTACTGGTTCCTCCCAGAGTTCTTTCTGGACATGGCCTTGGCCACACTCACTGTGCCGGTGACTTTCTGCTCTGTCTACATTCCTTTTGCATATACCCTCCATCAGGATGGGATGATTATTTTGTTTTAGCTTTATGACCAACACCTGGCTCATGCAGGCTATAGGAAACATTTGGGGCCGAATGAAGGACTGTAGTTTCGACTAAGTTATCCCAATCTCCTGGGGGCTGCAGATTGCTTAACTGTATGCTGAGGATTAAATAACGCTTTCCTGTACAAATTTTTTATGGGCTGAGTGCAGTGGCTCATGCCTGTAATCCCAGCACGTTGAGAGGCTTAGGCGGATAGATCATGAGGTCAGGAGATCAAGACCGTCCTGCCCAACATGGTGAACCCCCCTCTCTACTAAAAATACAAAAATTAGCTGGGCGTGGTGGTGCGTGCCTGTAATCCCAGCTACTCAGGAGGTGGAGGGAGGAGAATCGCTTGAACCAGGGAGTCAGAGGTTGCAGTGAGCCAAGATCACATCACTGCACTCCAGCCTGGCGACAGAGTGAGACTCCATCTCAAAAAAAAAAAAAAAAAAAAAAAAAAAAAAAAAAAAAAAAAAAAAAAAAAAAAAAAAAAAAAAAAAAAAAATATGATCCAAGAGCAGTTTGTATGGTCCCCTTAAATACCAATATAAGACTTTCATTTGATTGCTTCCATGCATAAAAAAATAATCTTAACCAAATGACTATTCCCTCTTCTTAGCTTGTTTATATGATGCCATTTATTAGAGTTTTTCTCCATGAGAAGGCCACCAGACATGTCTACTATGCTTCTCAAAGGAAAATTTCAGAAATGAGTGGTGGTGAAGCATGTGGCTGGACTTCTCCCAAGACAGGAGGGATCAGATCTCTCCCAGAGGGTGAAGTGTGGAGAGGGACATGACGGCAGGGGCAGGCCCTGGTCTCACAGGGGCTCTCATTACCAAGTGGAAATTTGCTGGTGTTAACTATGGAAATTTACTCGTGATGTAAGAAGAAAATCCTGCATGGCAGCTGATTTCTCACACCTCCGTTTTCTACTTTTGTGCTCAAACATATTCTCCATCTGCCTTTGCAGTGGCCAAAGGTTCCCAGCCCTCTGCTCTCACATGAAGCCCTTTGCTTATTCTGCCCCCTCTTGGAGGGATCCACACAACCCATCTTCACCAAGCCTGCTCCAACTCAGCCTCCAGGTCTCGGCTTAGATGCCAAACCCTCCTGGAGGCCTTTTCTGACCACCTCTCCCCCACATCCTTACTGTAGGTGGATGCCCCTACTCTGAGCACACACAGAAACATACCTCTTCTGTGGGGTCACCCACTTTGATTTCCCATTTGATCAGCTGTGTTCCTTGCTAGACAGTGAGCTACTGAATTTTACCAATGGATCCCTGGCACAGAGTAGGTCCTCAGGACAGACTTACCAGATGAATAAATGAATGATATAATGGAAGAGTACACCCTGGGGTGACATGCGGTGCAAGGTAAATAGTCTCACCATTCGAGACCCACTCTCAAGGCTTCCTTCCTGACCTTCCCCAGGCAATAAGGAGTGGATGCCTAGGGCCAGGGAGCACAAGTCCTGCCTTCCTCAGAGCTTTCGTTATATTCCCTTGTAATAATAAGACTGTGAAACCCCATCTCTACTAAAAAATACAAAAAATTAGCTGGGCGTGGTGATGTGCGCCTGTCGTCCCAGCTACTCAGGAGGCTGAGGCAGGACAGCTGCTTGAAACTGGGAGGCGGAGGTTGCAGTGAGCCGAGATCGAGCCACTGCACTCCAGCCTGGTGCCTGGCGACAGAACGAGACTCTGTCTCAAAAATAATAATAATAAATAAGACTGGATCTCCCTCCAGTTCCTCGTGAGCAGGGACTGTGTATTTTACCTCTGTGCTCCCATCTGGCACAGATGGATGGAAGCTGTTTGGCAAATACCTGTGGATTGTAGAAGCCAACAGAGGGCTTTTCTCTCTTCACCTTCTCTCAGGTTCACAGCGCTCCCTCTGCTTTCAAACTGCCATTGGGGTGTTTGTTTTGCCCCAAGATGACTTGAGGTTCATATCTGCTTCCCTGGATTTATTTGGTTCATAAATAACAAATTCCAATTTATCTCAATATTGGTGATTTTTATTTCTGTCTAATTTGGGGAAACAACAACTCATAAAAACAAAAACAAAAATTACGCAGAGAATGACGACATATTGGACCATTATCTTGGCAGGCATTTTCTTTATAATTTTTACAATCAATAATAGAATGTCCTGTTTTACATAATATATATTTATATATATTTTATGTATATATATATTTATATATTAGATATCTATATTTTGATAGAAAGAGACATAAAAAAGCCTTTTCAAATGAGGCATGACACGCAACACTTGACACTCTTATTTACAATATAGAGATGTACTTTCTACACAATTATAATAGATGCTCAGAGGCCAGAGAGGGTTTACAAAGACAGCAGAGCACCCCTATAAAAAAGAGGTGCACCATGCAGCTGGACGTTTATTGCCATTAGTTCTATGTCCAGACAGCATATTGAAGTTAAAAATGGCATCTGGTTATTGGAAAAGGTGATGATCATCAGATTCATCCCAGCTCCATAACCGTGGGCAACACAGTCTTTCAAATGACCAGGGAATGACAAACATTGCTGATGAAAATTGGAAATACAACATGAAATGTACTCATCAGAGGGACAGGGCCCACCATTTGGCCAGAAAGGAGAAGCTACTACCAACCTATGGTCCTGTACTGAGCAGGAGCACTTGCCTGGGTCAAAAAACAACATGCGCTGCCAGACTAGGGATCAAATGTCTCCCAGGTATCAGAGTAAATGCAGCACTCCTATGAGTAACCAGAGTCTCTGCCCAGCTCTGAACCCTGACAAAAATTCTCACTGGAAAGTGACTAGGGGACTTAGTGAACTCAAATGCATTATGACCAGGATATAACAAGCATTCAGAAAAGACCCACTGAGAAACTCTAAATCCATTGTGTGCAAGTGTGTCTTTGCAAGACATTCAACTCTCCCCCAACAACCCTCCCTTTTTTTTTTAAAGAATCCCACATGTCTACACTCCTGCAAACTTGCCCATATGGACTCATTTCCCATGGTCTGCTTTTAGCTGTCAAAGTCATAAGAGGATCTAAAATTCTCAGATGAGCTTAGATTTACTTGGTTTTGTTACCATGGCATCAGTGACCTAGAGTCATGGCCCAGGTGCTGAGAAACCTGGTCCTAGATGTGTTTCCATACGTCAGAAGGGATTTTTTTTTTTTTTTTTTTTTTTTTTTTTTTTTTTTTTTTTTTTTTTTTTTTTTTTTTTTTTTTTTTTTTTTTGCAGAAGCAGGGAGCTTTCATCTCCAAAAGATGAGGCTCCTGTCTTATTTAGCCCTACTGTCCAGGTTCATTAATCTCTTCCATACAACTAAATGATCCTTTAGGCTTCCTTTAGCCTATACAACATACTCAGTCTTTGAGACCTTACCATTAAACATCCTAGTGATTTTCAAAACTCCCTTTGAGTCACTTTCCAATAACAGTTTGTGTTGAATCTTCAGTCTGGATGTTCTCCTCCTATCTGATTTCACTTTTGTCCCTGTCATCTATTGGTTTTTATCAACATAGTGACCTTTCCTAGCCCTTTATTTTCCTAAGGCAAGAAGACATTTCTATTGAAAGATAACCAGCACCCTTCTTAGAGCTCCCCTGAGGTTTTAATCCAGCACTCCTCCATTTAGATGTTTTTCTCCTTCCATGGATAGGAGAAGCAGCTGGCCACGTTAATGGTTTTAATTTTTTGCAGTTGCATTGAATGCTAACATAGCATATCTTTGGAAGTATATCAGCAGGAGCTTCACACGTGTGTGCATTCATCTCAGTGGCCCCTTCTGCTAGGTTAGTCTCACTCGTGTTCCCTACTACAGACGAAGATGTAAGCAATCACTAAAATAATTTGTGGATCAGGGCTCTGCATAGAAAAAGTCTGGGAAAGTAGGTGGAGCAACTATTCATAGTTCAGTGTGTTCTTAGAGTCATGTTTCTCTGTAACAAACTTGTATTTAACAATACTATCACCTTTATCCCTCTTTACCTTAAGTCACCCTGCTCACTGCTGTTATGAAATAAAAGTGGGATTTGTAATGCATTCCTTGGTCTCTTGTTTGGAAAACGTGAAGAGAAAATACGAGTATGGGCATCACATTTTCTTGAACAATTGGCGCATTTGAATCTATTGAGGATTCTATTTACACAAATATGTTCCACTTCTGCACAGAGATTAACCTGAGTTCTGAAATGCTTGTTTGCACTTAATTTAATCAGAAATGATAAAGCTATAAGCTAGTAACATACTGGGCAAGTCTAGTTAAATTGGAGTCATCTCTCAGTGAGCCAATAGTGGCTAGCTCACCAACTCCCAAGTATTCTGTTTATTCTCTCATATTTTCCTAGAAAGCATCTTGAATGACACTCCAGGCAACTACACAAATTCACACAAAGTTTGTTGTCATTTAGTCTATTTGCTCAGTTTTCCCAAATCTCCAAAACAAAAGCACCTCTCACATCGGGTTCCACCCCAGCCTCCATCCCTCAACGCTGTTCCCTTGAGCTTCATTCTGAAATGGTGAGGTCTGTAAAAGCAGGTCTTAGTTAAAGCTTTCCACCTATCTTAAGCATTACCCAAGGCCTGCTCACTCAAAGCCACTACTTGAAGTAGTTGAGTCCTGCCACCAGGAAAAACTTCTCCAGGAAGAGTTCTGAATCCAGCACAGCGATGTGAGCAGCTCGGCCTATCAGGGTATTGGCAGTGTTGGGCAGGGCGTGGAACACGTTGTGTCGGATTAAAGTGCAGTCCTTGGCTTCAACCAGAGGGCCTAGGAGGTTGTTGATCATTTCCGCATAAACTGGCCCTGTAAAGGGAGAAAGAAGGATGTGAAGCTGGTGCAGAAGTTAGCAGTGGAATCTAGAGAACATTGCTGCATATGTGTCAAAATTCTTTTCCTGGGCAGACTTTCTATGTAGCAGTTTCCAGCCTCCTCCTAATGTTGGTGAAATAAACATGAAATAAAATCAAAGTTCTCTTTGTCTAGTCAGATTACAACAGCAGAAGTCAGAAGGGGATTCTGTACAGTGGCTGTGTGGAGCCTTGCACCAGAAACTAGGATGGTGGTGTCTGTGTTTCTCAATAATAGCTGTGCCTCCCAGCGCGGAAGTGGAGAAAGAGGCGTACACCAGAGAGGATCCTCAGGGTTTCAAGTTCTATTTCAGGGTACCTTGGGGGTTGGAGACACAGCTCAACAGGGAAGTGGAAGCAGGCATCCCCAGATGTCATACATAATGCAAGCCATGTGGCATTTCACCCGGCTCCTCTGATTCCACAGAAAGAGAATGCAGTTTTCTTTATGTTGGTTTTTGTTTTTACAATTGTTAGTCTCAATGGACTGCTTCCATCTGAAAGTGACTCCATTGCAATTTTTCATCAGGCCATGGGGGTCTTGGAGCCATGCCATGCAATTGAATTGCTGAGCAATAGATACATTTGCACACCTGGATCTACGATTCATGATTCATACCTACTAGCTCTGTGTTCTTCTTTTCTGAAAAACTGTTTATGACAACTTTTTGTCATTAAGAGACACCTTCTGGAATGATGCTGAAAGCTAGGATATTTTACTTTTGACCAACTGTGGAGACAGTAATTGGAAGTTGTAAGTATGACAAGCCTCTGGGTACCCACTCCAACAACCAGGTCTGTTTTATAAAGCCAGTAGAGGAGTCACTTTGGATGATGAAAGAGCTTATTCTGAGTTTAACAGTCCACAGCCTCACTCTGGACACTCCCCCATGCCACCTGAAGGGAGTCACACTGTTTTCCATTTTCCTCCACTTATCAGCAGGGGAGACTACTTAGAGGTCTGCTTTCACGGACTGGGATGGACAGCAGGACTCCACATCATGGTGGGGGTGTGTATTTGGGGTTTTTTCTTTTCCCCCTCTTCTTAGGGTCTTGGCAGGAGTTTTGAGGTAAAAGGAATTGAAACGTGAAATTGAAGTAATTAGGGATTTGGATGTAGCCATGTCAATTCAGCTGAAAAAAATTTGGGGTTAACACAAATGGTATGGTCCTTCCCAAGAGCCCACTGATGTTTTAGAGTAGTGATCATTATAATAGGCAATCACATGACGCGAGGTTATGCCACAAATATTTTATGCATGAACTATTCTTTATGAGGGAAAATTCAAGTCAGCCAAAATTCAGCATCAAAGTTAAGTAAACCATGGTTTGTGGGCTAAACAATCCTGTGCTCCTTTAAAATAATATTTATGAACGTGGGCGCCAAGATGGCCGAGAGAAGCCAGCGCGGTAAGGCAGCTCTCTGTGGGACTGACAGGGCACTGGAACTGGGCCCAGGGAAGGAGGCGCAGGGCGGGAGCCGCCCAGGGGGCGAATCAAGATGGGAGGGGTGAGTCCCCACCTGAAACGTGCCGCCGGCTCGGAGGCTCGCGGGGCTTAACCCGTGCTCCGTTTCAGATCCTGTGGTTGCCTCATCCCTCCTGCAGCCCACGGTCCACAAGAGCCCTGCAGGACGGTGGGGGCCGTGGGTAGTCGAGGCAAATCTGTTACCTTCCGGCGCGGGCAGGTCGTTGCAGGGACCTGGGTGAAGTTTGGACTAACACCAGCCGGACGCACCGTCCCACAGAGGGAGGCAGAGTTGAAAGCAGGGAGACAGATCACAAGGCCTGGCAGGCCCCACCCCCACAGAGCTCAAACTGAAGCCCTCGCTAGAGAGGTTGGCAGCAAATACACCAGCTTGACCCTAACCAGGAAGCTCGAGCTCTGGGAGAGCTGCCACGGGGAAGGCGGGGCCCATCTCACCTGCAAAGGAACCCCAGGGAAGGACCACCCACCCAGCCACCTGACTGAACCCGAGAGCCCAGCGACGCCCTCGACAGGCCAAAAAAGATACAGCTCCAACCTCAACAGAAGAAAACGTCCACTCAGACTCCTCCTGAAATCACCAACTTCAAAGATTAAAGGGAGATAAATCCATGAAAATGGGGGAAAAAAAGCGCAAAAAGGATGAAACCACCAAAAAACAGAACACCTCTTCTCCTCCCAGGGATCACAACTCCTCACCATAAAGGGAACAAAAAAAGACAGGGAATGAATCTGACAAATCAACAGAAGCAGGCTTCAGAAGGTGGATAATAACAAACTTCTCTGAGTTAAAAGACCATGTTCTAAACCAATGCAAAGAAACTAAGAACCTTGAAAAAAGGTTAGATGAAAGCTAACTAGAATAACCAGCTTAGAGAAGAACATAAATGACTTGCTGGAGCTGAAAAACACAGCATGAGAACTTTGTGAGGCATACACAAGTTTCAACAGCTGAATCTATCAAGCAGAAGAAAGGATATCAGAGATAGAAGATCAAATCAATGAATAAAACGAGAAGGCAAGATTAGAGAAAAAAGTGAAAAGAAATGAGCAAAGCCTCCAGGAACTATGGGATTATGTGAAAAAACCTAATCTACACTTGATTGGCGTACTTGAATGTGACAGGGAGAATGAATCCAAGTTGGAAAACACTCTTCAAGATATTAACCAAGAAAGCTTTCCCAACCTAACACGGCAGGCCAATATTCAAGTCCAGGAAATACAGAGAACACCACAAAGATATTCCTCAAGAAGAGCAACCCCAAGGCACATAGTTGTCAAATTCACCAGGGTTGAAATGACGGAAAAAAATCCTGAGGGCAGCCAGAGAGAAAGGTTGTGTCACCCACAAAGGAAAGACCATCAGACTCACAGTGGATCTCTCAGCAGAAACCCTGCAAGCTAGAAGGGAGTGGGGGCCAATATTCGACATCCTTAAAGAGAAGAACTTTCAACCCAGAATTTCATATCCAGCCAAAATAAGCTTCATAAGTGAAGGAGCCATGTCAATTAATGGACAAAACAACCAGCCAGCAACAAAATGGCAGGATCAAATTCAGAAATAACAATATTAACATTGAATGTAAATGACCTAAATGCCCCAATCAAAAGATGCAGACTTGCAAACTGGATAAAAAGTCAAGATCCATTGGTATGCTGTATTCAGGAGACCAATCTCACATGCAAAAACTCACATAAACTCAAAATAAAGAGATGAAAGAAGTTTTACCAAGTAAATGGAGAGCAGAAAAAAGCAGGGGTAGCAATCTTAGTCCCTGATAAAATGGACTTTAAGCCAACAAAGATCAAAAGAGACAAAAAAGGACATTATATAATGGTAAAAGGATCAATGCAACAAGAAGAGCTAACTATCCTAAATATTTATGCACCCAATGCAGGAGCACCCAGATACATAAAGCAAGTTCTTAAAGACATACAAAGAGACTTAGACTCCTGTCAGTGGAGTGTTAAAGTGGGAGACTTTAACACTCTGCTAACAATATTGGACAGATCAATGAAACAGAAAGCCAACAAGGATATCCAGGACTTGAACACAGATTTGGACAAAGTGGACCTAATAGACATTTATAGGACATTCCACCCCAAATCCACAGAATACACACTCTTCTCAGCACCACATTGCACTTACTCCAAAATTGAACACATAATTGGAAGTAAATCATTCCTCAGCAAATGCAGAAGAACAGAAATCATAGCAAACAGTCTCTCAGACCACAGTGCAACCAAATTAGAACTTGGGATTAAGAAAAGCACTCAAAGCCACACAATCACATGGAAACTGAACAACTTGCTCCTGAATGACTAATTGATAAACAATGAAATGAAGGCAGAAATAAAAATGTTCTTTGAAACCAAAGAGAATGAAGACACAACTTACCAGATCCTATGGGACATATTTAAAGCAGTAAATGCCCACATGAGAAACAAGGAAAGATCTAAAATTGACACCCTATTGTCAAAATTGAAAGAACTGGAGGAGCAAGATAAAAAAAAACTCAAAAGCAAGCAGAGATTAGAAATAACTAAGATCAAAGCAGAACTGAAGGAGATAGAGACACAAAAAACCCTTCAAAATATCAATAAATCCAGGAGCTGGTTTTTTTAAAAGATGAACAAAATAGACAGACTGCTAGCTAGACTAATAACAAAAGAAAAGAGAGAAGAATCAAATTGATGCAGTAAAAAATGATAAAGGGGAGATCACAACTGATTCCTCGGAAATACAAACTACCATCAGAGATTACTACAAACAACTCTATGCACGTAAACCAGTAAATCTGGAAGAAATGGATAAATTCCTGGACACTTACACACTCCCAAGACTAAGCCAAGAAGAAATTGAAACCCTGAATAGACCAATAATAAGGTCTGAAGTTGAGGCAGCAATTAATAGCCTACTGAACAAGAAAAGTCCAGATCCAGACAGGTTCACAGCTGAATTCTAAGAGGAGCTGGTACCATGCCTGTTGAAACTATTCCAAACAATACAAAAAGAGGGAATCCTGCCTAACTCTTTCTACGAAACCAACATCATCTTGACATCAAAATCTGGCAGAGACACAACTAAAAAAGAAAACTACAGGCCAATATCCATGATGAACATTGATGCAAAAATCTTCAATAAAATACTGGCAAACAGAATCCAACAGCATATCAAAAAGTTTATCCACCATGGTCAATTAGGCTTCATACCAGGGATGCAAGGCTGGTTCAACATACACAAATCTATAAATGTAATTCACCACATAAACAGAACCAAAGACAAAAACCACGTAATTATCTCAATAGAAGCAGAGAAGGCCTTTGACAAAATTCAACAGCCCTTTATGCTAAAAACTCTCAATAAACTATGTATAGATGGAATGTATCTCAAAACAATAAAAGCTATTTATGACAAACTCACAACCAATATCATACTGAATGGGCAAAAATTAGAAGCATTCTCTTTAA